GTTTTGGCTATTGTAAATAGTGCTGCAATGAACATCGGCATGCATATATCTGTTCTTGTTATGGCTCTCACTTCTTTAGGATATATACCTAGTAATGGGATGGCTGGGTCAAATGTTATTTCTAATAAGCAGCAGCTTTGAGAAAGGTCTTGAGCTTCTGGCAATATGGATCTTGTATTTGGCAGAGTCTTCATCTCAGTGGCCTGCCATGTTGTCTGCCAATTTGGGACTGTTAATGGACTTGAACTAGCAGCCTGCCGTGTTGCCTGATAATTTTTTAACCGGGCCATTTTACTTGTTGACTTTGGGTTTGCCAGCCTCAGCAGCCAGCAGCTGCCTAAGTTAAGAGAAATCGCCAGCTTCAGCAGGCTGGGGGCAAGAGGTGGAGCTGAAGCCTAAGGTCAAGGGGCTTTCACCCAGCCCTCCGAGCTGGCACTTTGAACTTGGACTTCCAGCCTCCTAAACTGTAAAAGAATAAATCCCTGTTTGTTAAAGTTATCCACTTGTGATATTTCTGTTGGAGCGGCACAACATAACCAAAACAAGAAGGAAGGTGTTCACACTAAAGGAGCAGCCAACAGGAAAACAGTAGTTTAGAATTCTTCACACTCCTCAGAAGGAAGGTTGGGCAATCCTACTTCCATAGTGATAACTGCCTCAAAAGCCCAAGGAGGGGTCGCTAGGAGTCGGCTGACTTGATGGCAAATAACAACAACAACAACATTCCGCCTCTAGATAATAGAGATAAAACATCTAAGATAGGAGAAGTGCAGATGACATGCTGAAAGTAACATCAATGACAAAATCAGGATCCAATGATTCTACAATCCACTGTTACCAAAACATTATCAATTCTGTTCTTCTATCTTGGGAATTACTATAAATTGAGCACTATTTCCCCAATCTTCCCTAGTGGTTATAATTACCAATAAAAGAAACACTCAACTGGTGACATAAAGGTTCTTAAAGCAACTTACGATGATGAATCATTTTCCTTAGGGTAATCTTCATTCAACTCTGAGCCAGATGACAGCATTCTTTTCCTCTTTTCAGTCCTATCAAGACATAGGAAAAAAGGTAATTAAAAACAAGTCATAATTAACCCATTAAAACTATAAACTACCATACTCACAAACAGGAATTGTGACTACTTTTATCTAATTCACTATACCATAGCTAAATTAATATACCATGTATTTGCACGCTCAATATGTGTAACTAAAATAAATGACATAGAAACATACTTCTAATTAACTACCAAAAATGCACTCTACACTTTCTTCTTTACTTTTTCTAATGCCCTTTACTCACTAGACATTCTCCTTCCTTTCCTCCTCAAATTAATGGTCTTTCTAAAAGGCTAAAAGAAACTTATAAACAAGTATAGCAAATGACTAAGTATTAATAAATTTTTCATACCTATTTTCTAATAAGCCTGATCTAAGAGGTGTTGATGTAGATGTCAAAGAAGGAATGGTCCGGGTGACAGGTATTCCACTTCCTGCTGTAGTCTTAATAGATCCTCTACTTGGATTACCAAGAACTTTTCGAAATGGAACATCATCTTTAGTTTCCAAACTTCCCCTTTTTGAAGAGGCCTATAAGAATAAAGTTTACGACAGTTAAATCTTAAATCTTCAAATTAAGTGGAATACTTTCAGACCAGTGATTCACACATGGGGAGCTTTTAAAAAATACCCACAATTGGAGACCAATTTCCAGAGATTCTAGCCTTATTGATCTGGGTGGCGCCCATGCATCAGTATTTTTTTAAAGCATTCCAGGTGATTCTAATGTACAGACAATATGAAAAACTGAGTTTGACACTTATTTTCCTGTAGAAAACTTGTAAACTTAGAATTCCACAGCACACTGGCAAGAACCCTGCTTCAAATTACAAATTAAAAAAAAAACAAAAAAAAACAGTTCTAGTATTCAGCATGAGAATAGATCCTTGGGGGAAAATATATCCAATTATAATTATGATAAAATGACACAAAAGTGAGAAAACGGAGCAACAATATTTAGCTGTTATAACATAAATGCTACCTACTATATGCACCTCACATGACTCTTGAGAAGGTTCTAGGTTAGAGTAATAAAACAATTACATGTAATAAGCGTGAGACAAGGGTGTAGGAAAGTGAGACAGAGCCCATGTACCTAAGACAAATCAAGAGTCTATCCCCAAAACACAGCAAGAACATTTAGAGAGAATACAGTAATTTAAATGTATTTATTGGAAAACAGAACACTTTGTCAAAAAAGTTTTATAACTCTACATTAAGAGATACTTGATTTCTCTATGGAAGACACGGACAATTTCTTTCTTTTTACCAAATTACAATCTCAAAGGAAAGAAAAAGCTCTGTAAGATCAACTGGATGAATGGCTTAAATATTTATTTTCAAATAGGTGATGTATTTTCCAAGTTTGAATATCAAAATAATATTAAAAGTCATATACTGAGAAGTCTTACTACCACCCTTATCCCCATCCATTCAGTTCTCCCACTGTTTCTTTATGCAAATATAAATTGACAATTTTTATTCTCCTGTTACGCAAATAGTAGCATACTATGTGTACACAATTTGTAAATTTTTTCCAACCTTTTTTGATTATGACCCTAGAGACACCACTAATATGTTTGCTATCTTATCTATAATGATGGTTTTACAGGTGAATGCATATGCCAAAATGTACCAAATTGTGATTTTTACTTCATGTCAATTTTACTCCAATAAATGCCCTTCCCTATTCAACCTATAAAAAGAACCTAACAAAACAAAATAAAATCTCCTTTACTGCTTAGTCTAGTAAATGGACTAAATAATCCTTTCTGCAAAGCCAAACAGACTACATACAATTACTTACCAGAGAACCTTGCTTTAAAAACTTTATCTGTAGAAAGTTTTTTTTTTGAGTACTGAGTTTCCTTGAGATTGACCAAAAAAAAAAGAACCTGGAAACAGATAGTGGTGATGGATGCACAACACATGAATATGATTAATATCTCAATGGTACATTGGAGCTCTGGTGGCACAGTGTCTAAGTACTCAGCTGCTAACCAAAAGGTTGGCAGTTCCAACCCACCAGCCACTCCATGGGAGAAAGATGTAGCAGAGTCTGCTTCCATAAAGATTTATAGCCTTAGAAACCCCATGGGGCAATTCTGTTCTGTCCTACAGAGTTGCTATAAGTTGGAATCGACTCAATGGCAACAGGTGTTTGAATGGTACATGTGAAAATGGCTGAAATGGCAAATGTTTTGTCACAAACATATATCCACAATAAAAATATTAATAAAAAGAAGAAAAACTAAAAAGAAAAATGGTAAAATTGAAAAAATAAAATGTTTGACCAGATTTAGCCTGGTTTCCCTTTGCAAAACAAATGAAGAGACGTAGTGTTGCTAATTGCAATAAGGATATTAGTGCACAGCCAGGCCTTAAACTTTGCTAAGTATTTGTTAAATAAAAGCTGTTTAAAAAGCAAACAGAAGCTTTCAACACAGTGCAGAGGCAAAGTTCACACAGAACAGACCCAAATGGCATCATAGAAATAGAAATAGTAGCAGCAAATATTCACAGGGTTGTTAATACATAGTGCAATGAGCTGAACACTTACATGCATTTTCTCATAGCAACCAATGAAATATTATTCCTGTCTTAATTTTACAGATGAATACTCAGGCTTAGGAAACTTAGGAACTTCCTCAATGACCCCAGCTAGTAAGAGGAAGTATCAAGCCTCAAAACCAAACTAATGCTGCTTTAGCCAGAAGCCTGGAGGTTCAAATCCACCAGCCATGCCTCGGAAGGAAGATCGGGCAATCTATTTCCGTAGCGATTCTGCCTGGGAAACCCAAGGAGGGGTTGCTATGAATCAGATCCGACTTGATAGCAGTGAGTTTATTTTTTTTGAACTATCACTTGACTGCTAACCAGAAGGCTGGCGGTTCAAACCCACCAGCCACTCCTCGGAAGAAAGGTTGGGCAATCCTACTTCCGTAGTGATAACTGCCTCGGAAACCCACGGAAGGGTCGCTATGAGTCGGGGCCGACTCGACGGCAAATAACAACAACAACAACATGGTTCATGATGACCACAGGACAACACACAAAAGTTAAACTGTGTTCAGTAATACTGCATATATCCTTACATACATAGAAAGAACATGAAATATTTTCATAAAAAGAGTAGGAGGGAATAAGATGACGAAAACGGTAGATTTCAGATATCTGGAAAAATATGCTTATGACAATGCCAGATATATTATGCATTAGAGTCTACTTCCCGCAACTACCTAATAGAATATACATCACAGTCTGTCTGTGACTACTATTAAAATAAAAAAGCTAAAAATATTCAAATGAACATACCTGATTATCTGAGTAAGACAACTGCCTGTTGGTTTCCTTCTGTGAAGACCTACTGCCCAGAATAGCTCCAAAACTACCAGACCCCTGAGGTTTCATGGCTAGTGACCAAAAGAAAGAAAATATTAAAAATAACGTACTTTAATAAAGAGATTTACCCTTATTAGAATATAATATTGACGAAATGGAAGAAACAACAGGAAAGACTAATCAAGGTGCTGCTTATCAATCAACTCTTTCCAATAAAAAGTAAATTTGACATAGTAATTAAAATTTAGAGCTAGGGTCTCAAGCAAGATATTAAACATGCAGAAATTTGGGCAATTGTAATTGAAGGATAAATTTGAAAAAGCAAAAATGAAAATGCTAGAAACTCTTTCACATAAATATTTAGTAATTAAAAAAGGGAACTCTGCTGGCATAGTGCCTAAGGCATTTGACTGCTAACCAGAAGGCTGGTGGTTCAAAGCCACCAGCCACTCCTCAGAAGGAAGACTGGACAAATCTACTGAGCAATCTACTTCCATAGAGATACTGCCTCAGATACCCAAGGAGGCGTCACTATGAGTCGAATCAAATTGATGAAAAAAATGTAAATTTGACATAGTAATTAAAATTTAGACCTAGGGTCTCAAGCAAGATATTAAACATGTAGAAAATTGGGAAATTGTAATCAAAGGATAATTTGAAAAAGCAAAAATGAAAATGCTATAAACTCTTCCATATAAGTATTTGGTTAATTAACACTATGGGAAAGTCAGTCATGTTGTTTATAGCATGAACACGGACACTGGAAACCAAAGAGAGAAACAAATCCAAAATAGTGATAGGTATACCTCCAATAACATATGCTCTAGGGCACTTATATATACTTCAAAACATTCTCTAAAAGTATACTAAGAATAAAAGGGTTTTATTCCAAAGAAATGAATGATAGTTTAAAGAACATGCATTGTATAATATGAATTTGTATATTTTCAAGTATTTAATATTTTAATGGTTTTATTGTTTTTAGGTGCCATCGAGATGGTTCTGATCATAGCTTCCCTATGCACAACAGAACAAAACACTGCCCAGTCCTGCACCATCCTCACAATCACTGCCACGTTTGAGCTCATTGTCATAGCCACTGTGTCAATCCATCTCATTGAGGGCCTTCCTCTTTTTCGTTGACCTTTTACTTTACCAAGCATGATGTTCTTCTCCAGAGACTGGTCCCTTCTGGTATCATATCCAAAGTATATAAGACAAAGTTTCACCATCCTTCTTTCTAAGAAGCATTCTGTCTTTACCTCTAAAACAGATTTGTTTGTTCTTCTGCCAGTCCACAGTACATTCAATATTCTTTGCCAACACCATAATTAAAAGATATCAATTATTCTTGTCTTCCTTCGTCACGGTCCAGCTTTTGCAGACATATGAGGTGACTGAAAATACCATGTCTGAGGGGTCAGGCGCATCTTGGTCCTCAAACTGATATCTTTGCTTTTTAATGCTTTAAAGAGGTCTTTGCAACACATCTACCCAGCACAATTTGTTCTTTGATTTTAATGGCTGCTTCCAGAAGCTCTGATCATGGATACAAGTAAAATGAAACCCTTTACAATTTCAGTATTTTCTCCATTTATCATTTAATTTAGTTAGCCAATTTCTCAATGATAATCACTTAGAATGTTTTAATTCTTCAATGTTATAAACAGTACTGAACATCCTTTCACGTTCTTCTTGTTCAAGTGGATTATTTTTATAAGATAAACACCTTAGAATTAGAATAGCTAGATTACAGGACATACATATCTTAAATTTAAATTGTTATTACCAAATGTTTTTGTTAGCTGCCTGCCATCAAGCCAGCCCGACTCATGGTGAATTCATGTACAACACAATGAAACGCTGCCCAGTCCTGTGCTATCCCCATGACCGGTTACAGACTGGACTACTGTGACCCATAGAGTTTTCACTGGCTGGTTTTCAGTAGATTGCCAGGCCTTTTCTCCTAATTTGTCTTAGCCTAGAAGCCCCACTGAAACCTGTTCAGCATCACACCACCATACAGGCCTCCACTGACAGATCTTCATCTTATGGATAAGGAAATTAAATCTCAGAATATTAACTGTCTTGCCTAAAACCACACAGGAAATAACAAGCAGAGCTAGGATTTGAACCTAAGGCTGTTCAGGTCCAAACCCCATGTTTTTCCATTATACCATGCCGTTCAGATTCAAACTTAGGTGCCCAGATAGTCCGCTGGGCTTTCTACTCTAATGTATTTAGAGACACTAATTCTATAGCTAGTAAGTGATTCAATTAATACAATGGGATAAAATAAAAATAGAAATACGGACATTAAAAAAAAAAAAAAACCAACCAAAACTCACTACTGTCGAGTCGAATCCAATTCATAGAGACCCCTCCTTGGGTTTCTGAGGCATTATCACTACGGAAGTAGATTGCCCAATCCTCCTTCTGAGCAGTGGCTGGTGGGTTTGAACCACCAGCATTCTGGTTAGCAGTCAAATGCCTTAGGCACTATGCCACCAGAGCTCCCGGAAATATAGACATAGTCCCTGACATATTCTAAGAATTAAAAAAAAAAGTGCTCAATTCCTAGATTCTGAAATTCAACAGTTATTTATTAAATTGGCATAACTCAAAATTGATGGTATGAACAAATAATAAGTACTAAATAGCAAACCACCATAAAAAAGTTTTACTTTCAAGAAGAATAGTTTGTCAAATAGAGATTATTAAACACAAGCAAGGTAACACGGCTACATCTTCATTTACTAATGGTTCTAATATATTAAAGTTTAAAAAAAAAAAAACCTCAAAAGTTTGTCACCTATAAAATATTAAGTAACAGTAAAGCATGATGATGACAGAGTCGGCGACAAATAAAATTGGTGGTAAACTCGTTTTAAGCAATAGAGTATTCCTAAAAAGATCATAAGAATACATTTTTTAAAAAAATCAAAACACATTTTAAATGAAAGTGGTTAGAGAAAGCAAGAAAACCTGATCACACTAAATGATTTTCTACAGAACTCAGTTTTCACAGCCAAGAATAAAATTTCTGAATATGCGTCATATAGGTAAGGCATGTTCTAGATATTATGCAACAAGGTGACTTTACCAATGTAATTTAAATCTTCCTCCTTTTCTAGTTCTATTCTTTTATAACTTTTTTAACTTGTATTACAGGTCAGACCCTGGGATGACTTATGCTCACCTGAGTGAAGTCTGTTTTGATGGACTGCATCTAGAAACAATCTCATTTCCTCTGCATCCTTACTGGGTACTTTGTCGATAGACAAGAAGCTGTTATCTTGTAGAGTTAACATTAGGCGGCTTTGCTTTGCTCCACTGGGTCGAAGCACCACATTTTTAATGTTATGACTTAGCTGATTGAGACAAAAGGGAAATTATTTTACTAAAAAAATATAATGAAGTACAATAAACTGTCAAATGAATATTAAACTTTATACTTTCCAAGTTACATTTATCATTCTTCCCCATAGTAATTTAGTTCTTTTTTTCCTCCAACGAAAATGATTCCCATTTCTTGATGCATTTAAGTCAAAGATTTAATTAACTTTTGTTGTTATGTGCCATTGAGTTGGACCCAACTCATAGCGACCCTTTCTTAGGTTTCTGAGGCAGTCTCACTAGGGAAGTATATTGTCCAACCTTCCTTCTGAGGAATGGTTGGTGGGTTTGAACCACCAGCCTTCTGGTCAGCAGTCAAATACCTTATGCACTATGCTACCAGAGCAATTAACTTTTAGAAGGTACAAATAAATACTATGAAAATTCATTTTATAGACTATTCTTAGTCCTCTTGATCTTATGGTAGGGAATTCCCTATTTTCAAATAGAATTATAAAGTGATAGAGGATAAAAATTAGTGAGTTAACAATTTCCAGAGCTGGTATGGTAATACCACTATCAGTGCAGAAAGACAAATTAGAGACATTCTTTTTTGTTATTGTTGAACAAGAGCTTGTAAGGCTCTTGGCATATATTTCAGACATCTGCAATATGAAAAGATACATCAATCGAAACCACAATTCTCCAAAGAATTCCAACCTCTCAAAAGCACATCAAAATAAATCTTTACCAATATAAGAATACACCTTTAACTAAGAAAACTCACTTAACTTTAATTCAATAACCAAAATCGTAAGCACCCTGGCACTCTCTTAGTTGACTTTTCCTCCTCCCCAGAACTTGTTCAATAACCTATCTCACATTCTCCTAGACTTTGGATCTGTGAAATGAAGTTAATAATTTTTATTTTCTCTTGGCTGTCATTTTTCCAAGGCTAATTAATTAATAAATCTTCCAGTTTATCATCTAAATAATTTCTGCCAGACAGATATTCATAAATCCTTATTTCTTTAATGCTCCCTCTTAGCAAGCATATACAAAGGTTTCTAAGGTTGCCTTTTGGTGAAGATATACCCTCTGAACAGCATAAAGAAAGAATAAAATATTTTAGAATTTTTGAAAAATTAGGGAGAACTGACCTTAATTAATTTTTAGATAAGAATGAGAAAACTATTTTACCAGTTAATTTATGTTCAAATTTTTAATGATACTTATTTTTTAGCTTCCAGGTAGGTATTAAATTCTTATCCTTGATTAGAAATTCTCTGGTAAAAGCATAGTTAACTAGTTCAAACGTTTTAACACCAAAATATTTAAATAAGCGGTTTTAACATCTAAGAAGAAAACAGGTTGCATAAGAGCATTTTTCAGTAAATTTGCCACTTTCTAAAACTGAAACTTACACGTAAGGGGGAAAGTCTGCTCATGAGCAAACAAGAAGAGAATAATTGTGAATCTGGTTACTTTTATGACTGAGAATCTTATCCACCTCACAATTTTATAAATATTAAATGGTAAGGATTCTCAACTCTCTTAAGTCCAGACAATTCTGCTGACCCTCCAGTCTTGTTCACCGACTGCCTACTAGACACCAACTTCTGGATGTCTGACACCTCGAACAACTCATCTCTTTCTTTCCCAGTCTTCACACCGCACTTCTTCTCTTCTGCTCCCTATCACATAGAACACAAAAGGGAATGCTGTCCACTTGGAAACTCACACCTTCTTTTCTTCCTCACCACCCCAAATCTAGTAAGTCTTCTTAAAATCACTTTCAAATCTATCCTTTCATCCTCTCGCTTCTTCCACTGTCTTTTCTTTTAAGACTTTCATCCCTTACTTATACCTCAATTAACTTCCTAGATATCCTTCTTACCCTCTCACTATCTCTCTTAAAATAAAGCCATCTGTCTAGTTCCCAAATAAATCTGAATTTGAGATTCTTGACTTCTTAGAACCTGAGCACCCCATAACATGATAAATAGGACCTGGCTCCTACCCAGCTATTCAGTCTCTACTTGTGCCACTTATTCCACACTGTCTACGTATTTTCAAAGAATGTTCTTGTTCCCTCACATTTGCATGTCTTTGTCCATATATAGAAATCACCAGCACCTTATCCCCACCTAACTAAACTAAACCCACTGCCATTGAGTCAATTCTGACACGTAGCGACCCACAGAGTTTCCAAGGCTGTAAATCTTTATGGAAGTAGATTGCCTCATCTTCGTCCCATGGAGCAGCTGGTAGGTTTGAACGACAAAGCTTTGGGTTAGCAGCCAAATGCCTTACCCACTGCACCATCAGAGTTCCTTCCTTTATCCCTACAGTGTTTGGCAAATTCCTGATTATCCTCTAAATTCTCAACAGAGTATAAACCACTCTCTTCTGTGTGTTACCTCAGAGTCTTTGAAGTTATTTTCAGTTAAAATGATTTAACTACTCTTAAGTTTGAGGGGAATGATATCGCATTCAACTCGTTTCCTTAGCCCTTAATGCAGTATCCAGCACAACGTCAGTGGTTAACAAACAACCGTGGAATATAAACTGAACTAGAACTAAGGAGAGACTGGAATTGCTGATAGAGTCATCAGCCTCCAAAATACCTATATTTGGGACTGAAGCGTAAATACTTATTCAGTGCCAACTTAGGTTGACTGAAAAGATGAACCTCTATTTGAAAACAAACAAAAAAAAATCTTTCTTTTGCTAAGATGGCCACTCAATGAATATATTTATGTGGCAGAGACCATTGTTTCTAAAACCTACGTCACTACCTCCAACCTATTTAAGAGTATCTTTGAGACACGAAAATTTTATCTCTGATAGGGTTCTTAAGCATAAAGCTATGTATTGTTCTCTTATAAAATAGTACAACCATTTAGAATTAATATTTTATTTTTGTATAATCTAATTAACAAATCAGAATTTTAAAGTACAGAAAAAAGTAAGAATCATATTATGTTCCTAAATCCAACTCATATCAAGATGACTAGTTCCTGGCTGCAGAAGGTAAGTAGTAAAGAAGTGAAAATAAAAGTAACTTGCTTTTGCAGTGATAAAATGAGTGCCTTTAAAAACCTTAGTTAGAACAAAACAGCAGTAAAGGTGACCTTGAAAAATGATCTTTGAATGGTCTATCCTTTTGCTTTTTAGAAAACATTAACATGTTCTATTAAAAGCTAACACTAAATAATGATGAATACATCATACATAAAAAATGACCAATATTATCCTAAAGTGATTTTTAAAATACCACAGATATATAGTATCCAAATCCCTTTCAGCTTCTTTCCACCTCAGTTTGGTGACTACTGCCTGCTTTGTTACATACCACCAAACAATGCTGCTGAACAGTTTATAAAACATGTATAAGAAAATGTTAGTGTTCTGGTCAGTGAACACAAACACAGGTATATGGGTGGATAGATGGCTGGGCAGGCTGAACTATTAGGTATGTCTATGCAGCAGAGTGTACCCAAGACCATGTATAGTGTTGGCAGACACTGGTTCTACAGGTGTACTTGTATGTTCTGTAAGAATTCCCAGGAGTATAGTAGAGCTGACAAAGGACAAGATTGTAGTCACTTCTTGGTCACAGCTAGCTACCCAGAGGGACCGAGGAGTTGAATCTGTGGGCTCAGGACCACAGTCACAGGGGACATCAAGCTCAATTGGCATAATATACTACACAAACCATTGTTCCATCTCCTACTTTGACAAGTAGCAACCAGGATCTTAAAAGCTTGCAAGCAGCCACCTAGATGCAATGATGGGTCTTTCCTCATCTGGAGCAGAGATGAATGAATAAAACCAAAGATTCATGGAAACAATTAGTCCTCGTGATCGGTACACCATGAGATCCTCAGCCTATACAACTATGAGACCAGAAGAACTAGACAGTGCCTGGCTACTGCTGTCAACCACTCAGAGGGAGATCTATGTAGGAGATGCTGGATAGAGAAGGAGAACGATGTGGAACAAAACTCAAAATCATTTTGGGGGAAAAAAAGGGCCTAGGTTTGCTGGTCTGATAGAGCCTGGTGGAACCACTGAGACTAAGGTCCCTAACTGCCCTTCAGGTCTGGAACTGAACCCACACCTGTGCTTCCAGCCAAACAAAAGACAGGTATATGAGTTGAACATGTACCTGAGGTAGACACACTCCTTGGACAGAACAATCATGGGAGAAAGAAGGGCTGTTTATGCACAAGGAGATAGTTCAGGGGGCAGGAGTGCATGGAGGGATGGACACAGGGAAGAGGTAACTATTGGGAGGAAGTGGGAGGGGAGCTGTTGCATTGGGGTAAATTGTAGTCAACGTCATGAGACAACGTGTGTGTGAACTGCTGTATGGAAAGTGAATTTGATCTGTAAACTTTCACCCAAATCACAATTAAAAGAAAAAAAAAAAAACTAGTGTTCTGGAAATAAGAAGCAAGAAGTATTAGTCTAGGAGGGCTTACCAAGAGTCTAAGACACAGAACAATTATTCACTAAAGGGTCTGATTCAAGATCTATTCCAAACCAAAATTCAGTAATACCTGAAATATCCTTGGAATTCCTCCAGTATTGTAGTGAACAACTAGGCTGACTTTATTCTCTTTTTCCACAATTTCAAAGGATCCTTCTTTCCACTTTGTAATCCCAGTCTGCATACTTCGAATTCTGATAGGACCTTGTATCTTCAGAGGAGACATATTTTCTTCAAAAATAAATTGCTTCTAGCCAAATTAGAAAGCAAAAAAAATATCTTCACCTGACAGGTTCTAAAGAAGAAAAATAAAGTAAAATAGTAAGTTACAATTTACTAGTGATTAAAGTAAGAGTTTAAAAGAGAATATTTAATGTATCATCTTATGTCCCTTTCTCCATTTCAATAAACCATTTTTTATTAAGGATAGCACAGAGAAAACAAACAAAGCAGTCACCAACAGTGAGTGGCTACATCTAACCATCTTTTATTTCTTCTGAGAATGTTCCCTTCTTTGCCATGTGCTCAGTACCTATGCCCAAAATTCTACATTTTACATCCTAACAGCCATACTGCTGACACTAAAACTTGCCAATTAGGAATACTACAGTTGCCATTCCCAAAGTGATCTTTGCTACAATGTGACTAACCTTTACTTTCACCATTTAAGTACCTATTCTTGTCTTCCTTCAGGCCACCAGAGTTCCCTCAGGAATGTCAATGACTCTTAAATTTCAAACATTAGAAAATATTTTCAGTCACTTGACTCCATTTTTAGAAAGGAGTTCCTCCCAAAATATCTGCTTAGTCTGCAGTCTAAGCATATCTAACAGGCTGCAGTCTAAGAAGTAAACAAATTAAAAATTTACAGAATATTCAAATTAGTGCTATTATGAGAATTGCGTTATTTGAGAAAATCATTTACTCTCAAGAAAAACAACCAATCAACAAAACTCTTCCTAAAAACCACCTGTCATTTTTGCTTAACATTACCATTCTTGGAAAGACTCTTTACCAATTTTACCTTTGATAAACATTCAAGGTTTCCTGAATGAACCTCTAATATTCAAAATGACAATGATGGCATGTTTAAGACTTTTCAAACTAACTTACCAATGTCAGCAAGTAAATACATTCTTAGTAATACTAAATAATATTATCAGTGTGTCTTATAAACATTATACATGCATATATGCATATATTCAATCATCTAAAATAGCTAAAAACAGATATTTATACTATTTTCACGTCTAAGAACACTGCCTATAAAACCAATTTGTTTATAATAAATTAAAAATTATTAAAAATCGCCTCTGCCTGAAGAGCACAACTATAAAAGCTGAAAGCAGTCTAAAAGGAAAACGAGACAGGTCTACAAATCAAGAGTGATCTCTATTACTTACTCACTTATAACTTGTTATGTTATTGTTATGTGCCGTCGAGTCAGCCCTGACTCATAGCGACCCCTCCTTGGGTTTCCGAGGCAGTATCACTACGGAAGTAGGATTGCCCAACCTTCCTTCCGAGGAGTGGCTGGTGGGTTTGAACCGCCAGCCTTCTGGTTAGCAGTCAAGTGCCTTAGCCACTATGCTACCAGAGCTCCCCACTTATAACTTAGCGTCCCTAAATTAGTTTTCTAAATTGTGAGATAGGTATAGTACATCCTATTCCAATCTTGTTGTTGTTATGTGCCGTCGAGTTAGACCAGCCTCGTAGCAACCCTTCCTTGGGTTTCCAAGGTGGTATCACTATGGAAGTAGATTGCCCAACCTCCCCTTCTGAGGAGTGGCTGGTAGGTTTTGAACCTCCAGTCTTCTGGTTAGCAGTCAAGTGCCTTAGTTACCAGAGGTCCTATTTCAATCTTAGTGTTGCAGAATTAAATGGGATAACATACATTAGGCACTCAACAGATAGCAGCTATTAATATTAACGGAGTTAGTGTCTATTTTCTGAATTTTTTTATCTAAAATACTTCTTTCTCCAGAAGTCCCAGACAAATAAGTTGTTGATAGAGTCACCACCTCAATGCCTATAGGGATCAGGCAAGTGACATAAATGACTTAGGCAGGCAAAATATGGACAACTGCTACTCAAATCTAACTATTACTATGTAGAAACAGTGAAACTTTCTAGATCATACAATTTTTCAAGAAAATGAAGACATCTAAAATATTACCTAAACTGTCCATTTTCAATCATGGCCAGTGAATTCAAATTTATTTTTAAAAGCTGCAAATCAAACAAGACCCACCTGCAGGTAGGATACAGTCTGAGGGCCCCTAGTATGCGACTCTATTTACTGTACATCAAATAAGTAAGAATAAAGGAAGAGATGTGAACATTTTAAATAAATATATTACACATTTTCATTCCTCTATTACATAGTTGGGAGCTCTGGTGGCGTAGTGCCTAAGGCACTTGACTGCTAACCAGAATGCTGGCAGTTCAAACCCACCAGCCACTCCTTGGAAGGAAGGTTGGGCAATCTAATTCCATAGTGATACTGCCTTGGAAACCCAAGGAGGGGTTGCTGTGAGTTGGATCCGACTCAATGGCAGTGAGGTTTTTTTTTTTTTTTTTTTAAATTATACAGTCATCTCATCAAACTTTTCTGAGTGCCTACTGTGAACTCGGCAGGAGGGGGAGGGGGAGCTCTGGTGGTATAGTGGTTAAAGTATTTCGCTGTTAACCAAAAGGTCAGCAGTTCAAAATCCACTAGCTGTTCTGCAGGAGAAAGACGAGGCAGTCTCCTTCCATAAAGATTTATATCCTTAGGAACCCCACGGGGCAGTTCTACTCTATTCTATAGCACTGCTATGAGTTGGAATCGACTCAATGGCAGTGGTGGGTGACTGTGAACTGATTCACACAGTAGAATTACCTGGGTACATGAATCCACCAAAAAAAATAGAATCCGTCACTGTTTACAGATGTCTGTTAAACATGACATTTTGCTCTAACTAGTTACACTGCAGAAATCTGAGCTGGCAATGTGTTATAATAATTTTTGGGAATTGGTAACATTATTGCTTCACTGACTGGACATGTCCTTTAATATTTTTCCAGTCTATCTGTCAACATAACAAAGAATATATGCCCCCTCTCCTACCTCAGCTGCCCATGCCAAAAATATGAGTAGTAGTTGACTTTTCTCTTAATGATTACTGGTATTGGATTAGACATGAAAGGTCAGGAGAGTCCTGTCAATTCTACCTCCAACACCTTCCAGAGACATCTTTATAATGAATTACAGACCAACATACCACTTTCTTCCTTAATACCATTCAATGGTTCCCCATGACACTCAGAATGTAAAACTTCTTAACATGCAAGTCCTTCACGATCAAGACTCTGCTTACCTCTCTATCCTCAACAAGCCCCTATATCCAGCCATTTTGAGCTACTTGTATTTTCTACCAAAAGCTGAATGTTTTCATGTTCCTCTATCTTTGCACACATTGTGTGTGGCCTATGTCTGCCTCCAAGATTTTTATGTACCCTTCCCATCCATTCCCCTAACTCTCCTTAATTTCTTCTCCCAACAATATAATCAAGGTTCATCTTATATGTTACCTTCTTGAGGAAGCCTTTCCTATTTCCTCCTTCCTTTTTGTCTCCTCTCATATTCATACTAAGATTGCTTAAATGCATCTTTCTCTGTCTTCCTTTTGTACTCTGTGCTGTACCTCTAGTAGAGCACTATCATGCTGTATTATAAGCAGTCTGTTTACTTCTGCCTCTATCTAGAGTTTGCTATTTGAAGACAGGGAATGTGTTCTTTTATTTCTGCATCCCCACTAGGACAGTGTCAGACACACAAGAAACAGAAACCCCACTGTTAAAAAATTATGAACATAGCAGTACTATCAATTTTTTTCAATCTGCTGTTAAAATATACAACAGTAGACACCAGAATCATAAATCCTTCTTATATGGCCAATATAAAGTTATTAAGCTCGTTAACAGTATCACTATGCACTGTATTACATATAATTTATCTATTCAAGACTATATCTAAGCTTTTTCTATGTGTATCTGAACGTCTCAATTAACTGCAAAGCTGCCTTTAGACTTTGTAAAGAATTCAATGAGAGAAAAATCACTTATGAAGAATATAAACCAATATAGTTACAGAATGCATTATTAAAACAAAAATAGTAAATGTGCCCCAAACTAGGATTCATATTACACATCGCTCAAAGAAGAAACTCTTTATTAAGAGTTGTATCTCTTGCCAAATTCCTTATATATCACCATGGGTCAGGGAGCCAAAATAAAAGGGAATACAAAACTCCATTTTTTTTCACGTTTTCCTTATAGAACCCAAAGTAAGCAAGTCATCGACCTTGAATTCTTCAATGAAAAATATGTATTTAAAAAATAATATTTAATGAAATTTGGATATAAAATTTTAAAGTTCACTAAAGAATTTGAGAAACAAAAAAAAATACATTGGTTACTTCTGTTTCTCTATATAGAACTCTAAAAGACTTCAAACATTTTGGTACAAAGTTTTGGTTAGCTGTATAAAATTTTATTTCACATATTGAAAATATTCTCAATCATTTCTACTAACAACCTCTCTTTCTTCTAAGAACAAAAAACTAAAAGATATAGGATATACAATCGGCAGAACCAATAAAACGTTTTCTTAATGCCTCAACTTACCCCATTATCTGCTTCTGCACTACATGAATTAACTCAACTTATACACATACAACATATTATCAGGATTTGCCTTACTTGGTTAAGAGAAAAAAAAAAAAAAAAAAACTCAACTAAATTAAGTTTCTTTTTCAGTATCTGGCATGATCCAATAGCAGTTCAACTTTCCATGAACTTAGGACAAAGACAAGGTTTCTTTGAACTCTGTAATGCTAATTACCTCATCAAAGTAATACTAGGAAGACAAAAAAAATGAAAGCTATATACATATTCTTTACGTACAGATTCTTATTTACCTAAATTTCTTTATAATTATTAACATTAATGTTCAATTTTGAACATTCTATGAAAGCTTAATAATATCGGCAAAAATGTTATATTTCCTGTACTTTTATTAGAATGCTCATATTTTAGGATCCACTTTAAAACCATCCTTATTCAGAGGACATTCTGCGGTAAATAAAGCATGCTAAAGCATAAAACTGTTACTACTGAAAACTGTGAACTCTTCTCAATTCTATACTCTTGGAAACACATACCCAAAACAAAAATATACTTACT